TGCGTCGATCATACTCCGTTCCCCACCGGGGTGGAGTAGTCAATGCTACAACAGTATGGAGTAGTTGTAACCCATAAATGAGATATGGTGGCAGAGATTACATCTCAGTTCTGTTCATCCATAGAAAATGAGTATCCCTGGTTCTGTGACGGTAGGTACGCAGACACCGGGATACCTGCGATCCCAGTTCCTGGGTAAGTAGACGTCTATGTCATACGATTAGTGCGCCAATCGATCGTGTGCCCCAGGGCTGACTATATGCGTCAATTCAAAGGCGCATCTGCATTATAACAGAAAGAAGGTAGTTTACCAGCATATCGTTTGTGATTACGTTCATCACAGGCATTGTTATCTCCCGCATTGCCGCCTAACCAAACACGGATCTGTCTTCGAGTGAGTAGTGACGTTCGAAGGAAGAGACTGAAAGAGAAACACTAAATCTCGTAGAGTTATTTAGAGAGGTCTTGTTCGACATGAGGGGATCGAAAAGAAATGGTTGAACATGCCCTCTAGGGGAGTTGTAGTATCATAAAGTAGCATAGTCGATATCACGGCCTGTAATGCAGAGATCAGTCATAACTCGCCTCGCTGAGCAGAAATACCTGAGGTTGATAGCTGAAGTTGGAGCCCCTTCAGTGAATTCACCCGTCTGAGACGGGCAGCCGGGCGTGACAATGTACCGATAGAGACGAGCCATCCGGTGTGGGCCGGTGGCAATAATTGTACCGTGATAGACGAGTGGGCCGAGGGTGTGGTGTATCCGAGGCAAACGGATGGGCCGGGGGTATATAGTATACATGGTAGTATAGCAATGTACTATATAGGTGATTATGAATGGTGGTGAATCCAGTGTGTGATAGCGAGTGGGCCGGTAAATAAGGCACAATGGAGACGAGGGGGCTGGTAGATGAGATGCAATGGAGACGAGGGGGCCGGGGAATGGGGTGCAATGGAGACGAGTGGGCCGGCCATATGGGGTGCAATGGAGACGAGGAGGCCGGGGAATAGGGTGCAATGGAGACGGGTGGGCCGGCCGTATGGGGTGCAATGGAGATGGGTGGGCCGGTGTTACAGGGTGCAATGGAGACGGGTGGGCCGGAAGATGAAATGTAATGTAGACGAGGGGGCCGGTGTTACAGGGGTGCAGTGGAGACGGGTAGGCCGGTGAATGAGGTGAAATTGAGACAGGTGGGCCAGCCGTATGGGGTGCAATGGAGATGGGTGGGCCGGTGTTACAGGGTGCAATGGAGACGGGTGGGCCAGAAGATGAAATGTAATGTAGACGAGGGGGCCGGTGTTACAGGGTGCAGTGGAGATGGGTAGGCCGGTAAATGAGGTGAAATTGAGACTGGGTGGGCCAGGTGTTACGGGGTGCAATGGAGATGGGTGGGCCGGTAAACAAGGTGAAATTCGAGCCGGGTGGGCCGGGGTTACGGGGTGCAGTGCAGACAGGGTGGGCCGGTAGAACAGGTGAAATCAAGACGGGTGGGCCGGTAAAGGAGGTGAAATTGAGCCGGGTGGGCCGGGGCTATGGGGTGCAGTGGAGACGGGTGGGCCGGTGGACCAGGTGAAATCAGGACAGGTGGGCCAGGGGCTACGGGGTGCAGTGGAGACGGGTAGGCCGGTTGACCAGGTGAAATCAAGACTGGGTGGGCCGGTAGACCAGGTGAAATCAGGACGGGTGGGCCAGTAGAACAGGTGAAATCAAGACGGGTGGGCCGGTAAAGGAGGTGAAATTGAGCCGGGTGGGCCAGGGGCTATGGGGTGCAGTGGAGATGGGTGGGCCGGTCAACCAGGTGAAATCAAGACAGGTGGGCTGGGGCTACGGGTGCAGTAGAGACGGGTAGGCCGGTTGACCAGGTGAAATCAGGACGGGTGAGCCGGCATTGCGGTGTGCAATAGAGACGGGTGGGCTGGTAAACGAGGTGAAATCGAGCCAGGGTTATGGGGTGCAGTGGAGACGGGTGGGCCGGTCAACCAGGTGAAATCAAGACCAGTGGGCCGGGGCTACCGGGTGCAATGCAGATGGGTGGGCTGGCGTTATGGGGTGCAATGGAGGCGGGTGGGCCGGTACTGTGGGGTGCAATGGAGACCGGTGCATGCGTGCAAAAACCATATTCGGTACATCCATACAGTAACTGGCGTATCCATCATAGAACAACCGGGGGATCCATTGTATAGCAAAACAAGATCTACCGGAAATATATCTTTGAATGACATCACTTGTCTAAATATCTACAGTCCGTTGACCCAGAGTCCTCAAACCCATTCCATCTCCACTGGGTCGCTGAATTTTACATTGCTATATTTTGCATACTCTGTGCTTGGAGTCCCGACAAAGTTGTGAATGCTGTCTCGCATGTACCACGCAGTGACAATCCGGTTGCCTTCTTCAACATTCATGTAATGTCTCACCAGGCGACATGATGAAGCCAACATTGAGCCGGAGTCGTATAGAAATTTGATTCCGAGGTTCATAAAATCCATGATAACCGGCTGATAAACACCAGCGGTTCGTCATGATATCAAATGCCGCCGGTCGGCACTTTGGGTCTCTATGAGGCGGTGTCCGGCGATTGCATATGACCGACACAACATTGAATATGGATGTCCAGTGTTCGTAGATGATGGTACATCTCATGCAAATGATATCGGGTTGCCCATTCGCCCAGCCTGACTTGGGTTTCCATTCCGGCCCAATAAAGATCAGGGTGCATGACTCGAAGTGCAGCCGAAACTAGTATACCGGACCTTTGAAGGGAGGTCGTAATGTTCCGACCGACATCACCTTTCAGTGCAGCGGATACCTCGGGCGAAAACCCATCTTCCGGGTCAAGCTTTGGAAAACCATGTTTCTAGAATACTTCAAACCGGCGACTTCAATATATATGGACCGGACGTACCTCTCTTCCTTGCTGAAACCATGCAGGGGATATATTGATGCAACCGGGCGTAATCTTGCCATCCGGACTTGGATGAAAGTTAGACCGATGGGTCCTCCATTCAACAGTCCTACCAGTTGTTATGCTGTGCTTCAATAAATCACTCATGGAATGCGTTGCACCATGCATATCTTGCTGTTATGTATGTCCGGCTGAGCTGAAATTCAAATGAAGATCAATGGAAGACTGACCATCATCATAGCAGTCATAGCTCCAGGCAAATACCAGACAATGATTCTACCTCCGGAATCGACGACGACGGCTGGTGTTGTCAAGAAATGCTCCTGTTCGGGGGGGAATCTGTCGAAGAGGGTCTGCTCTCGTTTTGCACTTCGACCGGATTCATCTTTGTCCAGGGCATCATTGTATCTGACCATGTCTATTTTGAGATGAACTGTATGGTGGTTAGTTGACCGGAATGTGGCGATGGACCGGCATACCTACCGGCATTGGAGTATGCAGAGGCCATCACATTGGCAAGATGCTCTAATGCAATGCAAGTGTCAATATCCAAGAGTCCAAGGTTCATGTTTTTTGCCGGTCGTTGATGAATTGTGGACATGAAAATCTCGTGAACCAATTCACCGGCAAGGTAGGTCTGATACAAAGCCCAGTCTAGTGGGATTGCGACCATGTCTGGAAAACCAAATGAGTGATGGAAAAACACCACTGTTGAATGATAGCCGGAGAGATAGCAGTTAGAGAAAATAGTTTCACATTCACACGGCCTGATTGCAAAGACAAAAACCGGTGCTTCTCATTTACATTGCAGTGAATATGACAGTAACATATAATAGTATAACATATTGACCGGATGCTGGAAGATGTCAGGTTGTCCTTGACTGCACCCAGGATGCACTATGCACTGACATCTGTGTTCAACCGGTCAATGAGTGCCTGTGAGGATGCGACAGCCCTTGTGAGTTCATCAATCGGCCCAACCAATCCGGCCAACCTATCACTTGAGCTTCTAAAATTGTTCATCCTTCCCTGTAACATATCCAGCAACTCTCTCCCAATTGGCGTCTTGTGGCACTGCACAAGAGATGTTGAACCGGTTGTATCTGGCAGCGGATCCGGGCCCTGAAGAATATATGGGAGCATGCCGGACCTTACATGATCCGGCTATTTTGGATGTTGTGAGCATCCGGCAAAGATTAACATGATCTGAGGGACTTACGAGTTGTGAACAGTGAAATTCAACCAAATCCATCACATCTTTGATGGATGACTTTGGCAACATATCGGACACCCGGCAAGAACCGAGACTTTCCTTCCACCAGTCATTGAAGTAGTCCGGCATATGAGCAATGTCATAGTCATCGCATGCGTTGGAATCAACAGAGAGGCGCAATGCCTTGATATCCTGCAGGATAGCATCAACATCCGGTCGCCGGTCCACCAATGTGTGTGCGGTCATGATTGCAAGCACCCCCTTGAGAAGGTGGGGAATGACAGCGGACAACCGGGTGATAAATGATATATTGATGAATGGAGTTACAAAGGTCTGTATGACAGTGTAGAAGATGAGTGCAAGGGAATATCAGCATTGCCGGATAGCTACCTCCATCTCCCATTTCATCAAGATGTAAAAATTTGTGGCATAGCCAGGCATGTCAGTGGCAAAACTCTTGTCAACATAGAGGCGCATGGCCAACAACCGGGAATTGGCATAGAATAAGGCGCGAGAGATATCCCCAGCAGTGATTTGATTGCCCTTAGCGGCAATGATGACTTGGTCAGGGGGGATGAGAGTTACAGTATTGTTCATGGAGGGAATGTGAGGCTGTAGTGAGACCGACACTCAGAATTATTTACATGTGTCAACCATAATTTCATATTACCTAACCGGTGTTATGAAAGATTCAACCGGTACCAAGAACTGTCCAACCGGTACCAAGAACTATCCACCCGGCACCATGAACTATATATCCAACCGGTAACATGAACCACCCGCCCGGTACCATGAACCATCCGACCGATGGCATGAACCATCCTGACCGGTTCCATGAACCATCCGACCGGTGGCATGAACTATCCGACCGGTACCATGAACCATCAAACCGGTAGTTCTGGCTGACCTATCATCTTCCGGAAAGTATCCTCTGCATGTCCTGCTAGTTGGTGATATATGTGAGATTGTCGGGCAGCATAACATGTATGTCCGGTGAGCCCTGCAGAAGTCGCGGTGTCCATGTGACTGAGCCATTGCTTGGCTTTGTGGTTAAAGAAATTAATGGACCACTGCATTTCATGTTTGACAAGAATAACCTCCTCATTCCAACGATCACGCAGTGCTTTCGTCCGGAGCCAATTCACCCGATAAACTATTGAGAATATGTGAGACCGGACATCCTGATACCACCGGATACAGCAGACACTCACATTCTGTCATCCAGTCATTGCCTGATGTGTCGCCCTGAACATCCAAGGACCAGAACCATGAAAGAGTCGTGTCCCTCTGACCACGTGCATTGGGATCGGCCACTGCAGAGCTTGCTTTCAGGTCTTCTTTCTTCAAAGGAAGGTATTTCTTCAAGAGGTCGTGGTCAGGGAGATTAGCCAGTTGCAACCTGCATTTCGAATATATACTGGCATTGAGATTTACTGCTGTTTCCACCGAGCGAACTTGAGTCCATGCCCTGGTGGATGAGGCCTGTGACTTGGCTGACCGGACAGTATTGCGGAATATGACGGCTTTATCTACCAAATGAACTCTAATGGCATGGAGTGCATCATTGGCCTGGCCTTCACGAAGGGTAGTTTCTTCTTTCATGAGATCCATAAGACCTAAATCCTTGCACCTGACCTGACCAATATTGGATGGCAGGGGTATGACAGTGAGCTCCGGTTGAAATATGGAAGTATCGTGTATATCCGGCTCCGGATCATCATCGAGATCGGAGTCGTCTTCATAATCATCCGGGAGTGAATTACAAACTCTGTTGACCAGCAAATCCGGGTCGTTGACATCGACTTGAACTCCGAGATAAGTAGGTGCCACCATGAGAAAGCTTGTGATGTGAGTTTGAAGCTTGTCTCGGAGTCGGGCCACTCTCAATAATTGCATGTCTGTGGGATGCTTTCCCAGCCTGTTTCACATCCCTAGCAAGAGAGATTTGAGATTCCTCTATGGTGAGACCGGTTGCGAGCCAGGTGGCAGCTCCTCGGCGACCAGGGGAGTTGGTAACCGGATGTTCTGGGCGATTTTGAGCCTGCAGGAGGCGCAACTCCTGCTGTTTTCTAGTGGGAGCTGCACATGGCCGGATGATAATCAGAACGTGATCAGACCTACCGGAGGAGCGGTAGAAGTGGACACTTACCCTTTTCCAACCGGACCTCATAGATGTCCATAGCTGTCGGATCATCCAGTCTGTTCGCATGAGCGAGTGCCTCCTCTGCCTCCCAAAGAATGACCATGTCAGGGTGAGCTGTTTCGCTGAGATTTTGGAATGCAATTTTGCTCTCCGCAGCACCCTTGATTGCCTCTTTTAACTTTCTGCAGAGAAACTTAGCTACAGGGCGAATCAGCCGGAAAGTATCATGTATTAGACCGGAATATATTTGAACATCCGGAGGTGGGCGACTTACTGATGCGAATCATTTTCATGAAGTTGCAATCATTCATCTGATAATCCAATACCTCCTTGCGATGCGGGGTTCCCATGCCCCTGGCTGATGGGGAGATGATATTCAAAGGCGCCCAGAGGGTCTCCATGATCTCTCCATCTATCCTGCCAGCCCCGTGGATGAAATTTGATGCATACCGGACAAAGCAGCTGTCTTGATGGCCATGTACATGCCACAAACCTATTCCGGGAATGATATCCATGCCGATGGGGATGGAAAGATATATACTGGAAGCGATCCGGTCCTTCAAATACTTGTTATACTGACAATTTATGTCATAGAAAGTTATGGCTCGAGAGATTCCATCGGTCTTATAGTTGAGTGCTTGACTCAACGCATAGTCCATGTTCATCTGCCTGATTATTCCCGGTAAGACCTGTAAGCCCAGAGATCAAAGTGACCGGATGCAATGCGTACTCACCTTTCGCCCCTCTGAAAATCCACCATGGAATGTGGGACAAAACATCCATGCCGTGCACATGCACACCCTCCTATACCGGTGGCTTCCAGCCTTTGCCGGGAGGCGTTTGCTTGATTGACCGCCCGGTGATTGTTGCAATCTGACTTTTGGACATGGTCTTGAGCAACGGACAAATGACTCTTGTATCTTTCATCGGAGACCATGAATGCGAGACCATCCATCAATGATACTTCGTCGGATGGATTCACCGGATGCATGTGCTCGGCTTTAAAATTACCATCCATGACCAAAGACCTGGTGATGAGCCAAGAAGGTGCGTCGTCAGGCTGGGTGACTACACCACATAATGCAGTAACATATACCCGTCTCAGATGGGCAGCCGGGCGTGACAATGTACCAATAGAGACGGGCCACCCGGTGCCGGCCCATGGCAATAATTGTACCGTGTTAGACGAGTGGGCCGAGGGGGTGGAGTGTCCAAGGCAAACGGATGGGCCGGGTGTATATAGTATAGATGGTAGTATAGCAATGTACTATATAGGAAATTATGAATAGTAGTAGTGAATCCAGTGTGTGATAGATGAGTGGGCCGGAGGAATGGAGTGCAATATAGACGAGTGGGCCGGGGAACTGGGGTGTGATGGAGACGAGTGGGCCGGTAAATGAGGTGCAATGGAGACGAGTGGGCCGGTACAATAAGGTGCAATGAAGACGAGGGGGCCGGAGAATAGGGTGCAATTGAGACGAGTGGGCCGGTATAGCAGGTGCAATGGAGATGGGTGGGCCGGTAAATATGGTGCAATTAAGACGAGTGGGCTGGTATAGCAGGTGCAATGGAGACGGGTGGGCCGGTATAGCAGGTGCAATGGAGAAGGGTGGGCCGGTATAGCAGGTGCAATGGAGACGAGTGGGCCGGTAAAGGAGGTGCAATGAGGACGAGTCAGCCGGTGGTTATTGGGTGCAATGAAGACGAGTCGGCCAGTGATATGGGGTGCAATGAGGACGAGTCAGCCGGTGTTATTGGGTGCA